TTAGCTGAGATCGGGACGGTGATGGACAGACGAGTAGAAGAAAACGATAATTGATACGAGAATAACTTTGACTCTGGTATATACTGGCCTTTCTTCTTGTTCTTTCTTTTCTCACTGCGTTGTTACGCAATATTCTCAGTTTAGTATTCTAGTAAATACGAAGATTAATAATAGAACGATACGTATCGTTATTAATTAAAAATTTACTGGTATGGACAAAAATCTTGAAAATTCAATATGGCGTATCTATGATATAAAATAGGCTAGGATAAAGAATAGATGTAAAATGTGATATTTCCTACTAATTAACGATTTAATAATAGTCTCGATTTTAGAGGTACCATTCTTTAAAAGGTAAAAAGGTATAAGGGAAGGAACGATATATACCCAGCGACGTTTCCTCGTCTGATGCTTCATTACTTTGAAACATATATGCTACCAATTCCTGAAATGCATTGTGTATAACGTATTCAGACGCGTATATCGAGATAAGTAAATAGAATGAGTTATAAACTGTATCTCATGAATAGAAAACGACCAGCTTTAACGAAGAGACGTTGATCCATTCCGCGAAGAGAGAGTCACAAGGCAAATAATTGCACGATTTATTGGAGAAGAATGGAAGGAAAGATACCTCGTTGTGGAACGAAAATAAATACCTACGCCCGACGTGATATCTTCAAACGAAAAGGTGACAAACGAGAGCTGCTAATATAAAATAAAATTAAAAAATTCACATCTGTGGAAAATATCACAGTTGACATAGAAAATGGGTCTGATATTTTGTCAAATACGTTAAATCGTATTTTATCTACCATTATCTAATTTCCGATAAATAATTCTATGTACTCGATAAACAATGGCCCCAATTTCAACTTTCCTAATTATATTATGGGAATAGACAATTGACAAGCTAACGTCCGAAGTCACTGTCGCACGAGCAGTGACATACACGAATTCAAGGCAGGAAATATCGATAATGTCGCTAGGTTGCGTTAATCCCTGATGTATTTACAAGCAACATTGTTGCCAATGGCAAAAATACACGAAACACGTATATACTGCAAGCTATTTCAAGTGGTTCGATTCACGATCAACGAATTCAAGCTGCAAGTAATAAATCATAAAAGTTATTGTTTCAATGAAAATCTATTTTTACATTGTGTTCCGCTAGAAACTCGCAACTTCGTTGGTCGGAAGGAAATATACCTGCTACATACGTTGCGATAACTACCCCGGAAAATACTTTCCTATGGAAAATTAAAACTCTGCGTGAACTTTGTCGAAAATAACCACGTGTTCCTATAAACAGCAAAAATAAAATATCGGAAGGGAGAGTAGTTTCCACCTATTTGGTAATTCTATTAAACGAAATTCAGAATTGACGCAAATCGACCAAATCAGCACAATGGAAACATTCGTGCCATACGCGAATTATCATAATTTATCAAACCGTGTTATAGGAATATCGCGTAACATAAACGCTATCGCGATTTTTGCGTGAAAATTTTCAAAGTACCCATGAAGAATTTTGATTTCCAGAAGGTGTCCTAATTTTCTGACGATCGAAGACGAATCCTTCATCTTGTATTGATCGGTCAATGGCGATAAATTACCACAAAATGACACCGCGAGTACCATTCGCGATCGAATACACAGTGATGCTCTGATTTACAATTTTCGCGTGAAAATTTTCAAATTATCGCGTTATAGGAACACTCAACCAAGTTTCCAATGAAGAATTTTGCTTTTCAAAAAGTGTCCCAATTTCCCGGTGATCGAAGACGCATTCTCCATTTTCTATCGATCGAATAATGACGATAAATCTCAAAAAAATGGCACCCCGAGTGCCAACCGCGATTGGATACGCCATGATGCCTTGACTCACGATTTTCGCGTAAAAATTTTCAAAGTACCGCATTACGGAAATATTTGACTAGATTTTTAACGAAAAACTTTGCTTTCCAAAACGTGTCCCAATTTGCCGGTAATGGAAGACGAATCCTCCACTTTCTATCGATCAAATAATGACGATGAATCTCAAAAATATGGCACCCAGAGTGCCATCCGTGATTGGACACGCCATGATGCCTTGACTCGCGATTTTCGCGTAAAAATTTTCAAAGTACCAGGTTACAGGAACACTCGACCAGGTTTCTATTGAAGAATTTTGCTTTCCAAAAGGTGTCCCAAATCTCCATCTTTCGTCGATTAATAAATGACGATAAATCACCAAAAAATGGCACCGCGAGTGCCATTCGCGATCAGTCACGCCGTGATGCCGTGCTCGCCTAAACGTGCACAGGAAATTTTAATTCCGCCACGTGTTTACCACGGAAGGGTCTTGAGGCCCTTCTCGCGGTAGAGGAAATTCCTCGTAAATATTCGGCAACGTTTCGATTCGTTTCGACACGGTGGCCACGCTCGAGCATTCGAGTGGCCGCAGCTAATGCCCGTCAATCAGAAACGGCACGTAGTAGCCGCGATAAATAAAAGTGTTCCCCCGCTGGTGTGTATATTTACCGGTGACTATTTTAAAGCGCCACGCGCGCAAATACGCGCCGCCGACGAGGAAGTCGCTGATGCACTCGCTGAATGAAGAATGCAACTAATACCGGGACCGTGATTGCGACACGGGCCAGTGATATTCCGTAATAATTCACTGGTCGGTGATCTCTGGCCATTCGCGAACAGAGGCAGTATCGTTTATTTAGAAGCGATAACGTTACGTCGCGACGATTTCGGAGTAAACGGTCAGCTTCGCGCGGTTTCACCACCAGCAAAATGGCCACGCTGACGATTACGAATGATTATTGTACGAATGGTCCGCGAATGATTATACAGTTTCAAGGAGTAGCTTTGGAATATCGGTAACGAAGGCCATCTTTGCGTGTAGGAATATATTCAAAATACCAAATGTCACCTTTTTAACCACGAAGATTCCAATATGTACGCGCGAGGATTGTCTGCCTCGAGAGCAGAGGACAGCTTTTGTTCCACGAATTACATAACGCGAGACGAAAGACAAGAAAGCTCGCAGCACCCCGAGTCTCCCGATTCTCTTCACCTTTACCAAAAACCTTGAATCTTGTCCCATTTCTATACGGTAGACGTCAAAATTAGAACGGATTTTATTATCATTCTAAAACGATCTGCACGCGATATATAAATTTCACGAAACGAATGATCCCGCATGAGCGTTTGTTTCTCCTGCAAACAATACTGCCGACCGTTAATCACCCGCCACTCTTCTCTACCCTAATTCCTGAACAACTATTTATAAACGTTGCTCTCCCTACTCCGACAACTATCCGCAGCATCCACGCATCGATATTCATCGGCATTTATCAATGAGCGTACCAGCGGTAGTATTGGCGGATGAACGAAGATCCGTTGCCATATTCATGAAACGGTAGCGTGGAATCGACCTCGTTGCGGTGGTTAGTCCGCTGGTGGAGTGGTGACCGCGACGACTGGGCGAGTTCTCGAAAACGAGAGCGCGAAGAGGACGAAAGCCACGGAAGAGCCTCGCGATAGTCGGCGAATCTCGGTGAGGACCGTTAATTAAAATCTTTCGATCCGGGGGGACAAATCGCGGCGTCTGAAATGAGGCGAAACGACGCGAATGGCTGTAGAGGTACGCGCGAGTAACGTCTCATTAGGTACAGATTGACCTAATTACGAAAGGAAACGTCTGGCGCACTCGAGTAGTCGCATCTCGTCTGCAGTTGGTGCGTTGCCTGCCTTTCTGTGTAAAATTGGAAATCGTTCTCTATTTATAGCGCTTTTCCGATAGGGTCACCGAAGCCGGACAAATATGGAACAATGTACGGAGCAACAGGGAGCGTAAAACGCTCCGCCACGTTCCCTCTTTGTTTCCATCTTTCCTCCCTCTCCGAGCCTCTTTCTCGCTCGGCCGAGGCGCGTTATTATTTTTACGTGCCGCTCTACCGGCAACCTTGACTCCGTATCGATCTGAAAAAGACACGAGTCACCGAACGCCTCGCGGAACTACGAAATTTTACCCCGGCCGTTTGCGCCAACGGAAACAGCGTAAACGGTAAATCCGCCGGACGCCAGAGACCAACAGCCGCCGCTGCTCGCCCAGTCTCTTTATTCCACCATGCTTTTGCGCTTTCACGAAGCAGCTTCGAGACTGGTGGAAAGCGAGTTTCGTTGTTACGCGCCGTCGAACCGCGGAACGACCGTTCGATTAATCACTTCCCGCTTATTCCAATGCGCCCGGCACGATATCGACTTTCCAGAAAGGAAAAGCGATTCGATATTCCCATTTCGGACGGTAAAACGAAGACTTCTCGTTGGAATTTCCTCGAAATTATTATCGAATTAACGCGGAAACTAGGAAATAATCGGTTACCAGTTAATCGTTCACGAGATCGATCGTAAATACGATATTCGATATGGAGCGTCTTCGATCTATACATCGAGAAAAACCGTTGATAGTTTACGGCGGCCATCTTTGTAACGGTCGAAAGTAACGCGACGTTTGTAATCGCTGCGACAAATGGCGGTGTAAAGACTCGAGCCGACTTCCCAAGATCACACGGCCTAGTCTACATCTGTCATCCCGTAACGTATTACGCGGTCCTTACTTTCCAGGCGTAACCGTGTCAAACGATATTACGATCGATCACTGTCCAACACGCGATCGACCATTACGTTAATCGATGTCGACGATAGGTTTAGCCGTTTCGACGAATCCCCGCAACGTTGCCACGCGAAATCGCGATGGAGAGAGTAGCTGGCACACACGCGAACGTTATGGCGCATCGATACTAAACACGAGAGGCGAGAAAAAAAAAAAACTAGCTCGCACGAGAAGAGGCAGAGTCCACAAATCGCGTAATTAACGTGCACACGTTTCACTGAAATCCACGACGAGCCGCGTTTGCGCGCGTACAACGCGTAAATCACGCGGACACGAGCCGTGCCACGTTCATTTGGCGCGTAAAAACGCTCGGTCGGCCATATCGCATTACCTTGTCAACGAAATCGTCCGGTGTCCCGCCAACCAGCCGGAACAACAAGTTTCTCACATTTTCAGCCCTCGGCGTGCTCTCGTTCTCTCGCTGGGGTATAACACAATCTCCGCACGAGCGTGCTTGCACGCGGCGACGATCACGGCACTGACTAAAAAAAACCAATACAAGCGGAAGCTGGGCCTATCTCTCTTTCTCTTTCTCTCTCTCTCCCTCCTTGCTTCGTCGGCGTGCAACCGGCTTCCGCTCGTCTTCCTCCTTTTCTTCTTTCTCGTCTCACACTGTGATCGCGTGCGAACGCGCCCCGTTATGGCGCCGCTGTCGGCGATCAGCGACGCAACGTTCACCGCGACGCGGCACGCGCCTACCAATGCCCATTTCTTCCTCGCGAACAGCACTCTGTCGATCGTCACACGGTAAACGCAACGACACACCGTCGAAGTTCGATCGGTACAGTCGCGCTCCAATCGACCACACGCGAGGCGATCGTCACTCGAAGGGATCCCGTGTATCACACGACCACCAGCACGACGACCACCGACGCGAAGCAACGCGATCTAAACGAAACACAAACGTGACGATCGCGCGACGACGAGGACTAGCACAACGGCGCGGCGACGGTGACTAGGACGACGCGACTACGACGACGACGGCGGCGGCCGGCTCGCGAGGACCTCTTCCGCCGCACGATTCATGACCACCGACGGAGAGCACGTCGCTCTCGTGGCGACGACTGCGCCACTGCGCGGTATCTCGTCGAAACGATCCGACGGGCATGCGAGAGGGGTAAGGACGGAAGGTCGGAGAAAGAGAGAAGAAGGGGGATGCCGGAAAGGGAAGGAGACAGGTAGAGCGGTGCGCGTGCACGTAGTAATAGTAGGCTACGTATAGAAAGAGAGATATATAGACCGTGTATATCTGTATATATAGTTGAGTGCGCGTACGCTCGAACGGCAGAGAGAGAAGAGGTTAGAATCGGCCGAGAGAGCGCGAACGCGTACGACGAAGACGTGGCCGAAACTGACGGTCGTTCGCTGCCTTCGGCTCTTCGTGACAAACGCGTCGTACCACCGACGGATGGATGGACACACGGACGAATTTTCGTCGACGACCGCGTTTTAGTTGTTTGTCGCGTTGTGCAGCGGCGCTCACGACGTTGGGACGCCCACCACCTGTGGTGCTCACCCTCTTTTCCTCGCGGCCGACCGTCCTTCCGCGCGCGCCACACTTGCGCGCACACGCGTTACGTCGTCCTTTCGGCCCGTTTCCCTTTCCTACTTTACCGTTCCGTTCCAGTGTGGGCAACGCGAATTTTAAATTGCCGTCTTTGCTGTTGTCGCTGTCATCGCCGCGTACCACGTGACGTAACCCGCCGTTTACCGGTAAGTTGTCTACCATTATTCGTAATTATTGCATGCTACGCTATTACGTCGTTGTACCGTCGTAAATTTTCAAATATTCATGCTCTTTAACATCAACGTCGTGACATTTGAAATAACGTCGATAATATAAGAATTAGTAATATTTGAGTAGAGGGTGGAAGA